TGGGGGGGGGGGGGGGGGGGGGGGGAGGGAGGTGGTCCAGAATAGTAGATGGTAAGAAAGCACAAATAAAGATAATCCTTCACAGGCAATTATTTAGTCTAGAGGGGCAAGGGTTAAGAATATGAAATACAGAACTCCACAAAGATTTTTAAGAACTTCTGATGTGTGAAAAGCTGTTTTACAGGAAGGAGTATAACTGTCATTTGAAGCAGTGAGAAAAATGAGCAAAATCATACACTTCCATTGAAAAACCTGAGTATCCCATTATTCAATAAAGTATTTTCAGATCATGATTTGTGAGGGCTAGTCCATACAGTGAGCAATATACTCAAATTGAGTATGTTATAAAACTACATTCCCAATCACACTCCTGTCTCTTCCTTGGATCTTCCTTCTGGTGGAGTGAGTTTATTTTGGTTTTGTTTGTTGGGTTTGGGTTTTTTTTATGTTTCTTTTTCTTGAACTGGTTTCCCTGCTGGTGATTCATCTTTGCAAGCACTGCCATTATCAACCACAGTCCTCGCTGTGGTTAACACTGTGGTACATACATTGCTCTCTTCAACATGCTAACACCAGTAGTTGCAATGGGAGTGATTTAGTACAGCTTCTATGAGAGAGAAAAAAAAAATTGCAGAGCTGCTGCAAGATGGAAAAAAATAGGCCATGTATGAAATCTGAGGATAGATCTTTTTGACAAGAGTCAGTTTTCTTATAAATTGGCTGTATGAAGGAAGCACAGGACTTCCAGAGAAGGATATCATTATGGACACTATTTTTCTGCTGAATGGAAACACTATTGGAAGGTATAATAAAAGCAGAGACAAAAGAAAGAACTAAACAGGAGCAAGGACCTTTTTCTGAGGTTGCATTCTATGGTCTGAAAGATGAGTCAGTTATTAGAGTGGTTATGATGATTGTTCAGGCACCATCCAGAAAAAAATAGGAAAGACATTTGTCTTACCCAGTGATGGGATTCCTTCCACGCTGCCTCTAAGTGAAAGTAATTTGAAACTATGATATTGAAACCATGTATGTTAAAGGTGTCAAAAGGTGACAAATCGAGACAATTTCAGCACTGTGAAAAGAGCAAGAACAGAGAGACATTTGAGGTCTAGATAGCCTTGTGACAAGGTATGAAGTAGTCCAGGGATAATCTCATGAATAAGGCTAGTTTTGACTCCTGAAAGTTATACCATTGCTCATGAAATATTGTTTTATTTTTATATTAAAAAATAATTTAAAATATGCATGTTTTCAGACTGTATTAAGTAGTCAATGCCTTGCGTTTTAGTATATATTCTTATTCTGAGACCAAAAGTTACAGTTCTTTGGCTGAACAATAGACCATTTTAATTTAGCTTCTATTTAAAAGAAAGAAGATTACAGCAGAAAATTAGAAAGAGCCAACATGAAGGTATGAAAGAAAGAATGATCAGTACCTGCACAGAGGAAGAATGGGAATGTCACACCTAACACAAGTGTTAGAAGATGCTTTTGTGGTACAGGTAATAGAAGGCTTACTGGTGACACAGACTTTTACTTTCTCATCTGTGGTTAACTGTTGGTTGCTGTAAGGTTGGGCGATAGACACAGAAAAATGTAAAAGATCAACAAGATCAAGTAATTGTCTCCCTGCCAGCCTTTGGCTTCCCCATCTAAAGGCTTTATAAAGCTATTGGTGTGGTGGAGTTTAAATGACTTGAGAAATGTGGCTTTTATTTTTTTTTTTTTTTTTTTTTTTTTTTTCCCCATTACTTTCTCTGGTATTAGGGTTTATCTTCTCTTTTGTTTGACTTTACCTATATGTAATATAGCCATCTCAGACAATATGTCCATTTGTTCCTCTCCCTTTTTTCTAGCTTATATCATTCAATTACTTTCACATAATCGTGTTTTTCTGTTAACCATTTGGCCAAGCTATATAGGCATTTTCCCAAGGTTCTTCCATAGATAAAATACAGCAGTATTTTAAGAACATGCCTGTTCTTCTCTGGATTTGTTATACAAGTTGTTGGCAAGAATGAACTTAAAAGATACACTGGGCAAAATGATCCCTGCTTAACTCCGTAAGAAAAAATATCAGACATGGAGTGGCCATTGTTCTCAGTCTCTGTGTTCTTATGAAGAGAAACTATGACCTTCTAGGCAAGATGTGGTGAGTTCCTTTATGCTCCCCAAAATGACACAAGCCTGGCTTCAAGTGCTTTCTCTCCTCGGAGAACATCTAACTTGTTATCTGATATAACCTTTTTTATTTCTTGATTTTTTTTCTCCTGTATTCCTTCCTTATGTCTGTGTTGACCTTTGTTTTTTTTAACTGGCAATATGAGCAGGGGATTTCATCCAGAGCTATGTGTTTAGCTCTTTCCTTTCTCTTGCCCAGATTGCCTATATCACAACATTTGAGCATGAAATGGGTGCTCCACAGACATCATCTTCCCCTTCCACAGAAAGCATGGTCTTTTCTGCACAGCTGCCCATACATTCTGGATTTTGTGCAGTCTAGGAAACAGGATTTTGAAGAGAAGTTAGTATAGAGAAAGGGCTGTATTGGGAAGAGCACTTTCTCCATTCCAGGTCCATGTAATTCTGGAAGAACAGTTTGAGACTACAAAGTCATTCATCAGGACCAGAGCTAGTGCAGGGTGCTGAAGTTGTGTAAGTGGTACTGAGTCATCAAATCCTTGGGGTTCTGCAGAGGTTAGGCTTGGGGTTTCCTGAGAACAAAGTTCCCTCTTTCTAGGTAGTGGAAGAGTCTCAGTGAAAGACTTTCACAGGTATTTCCTCAAACTGAGGCTCTTACCTTGATAAAGAAATAACCTAGCCTGCCATCTACTATACTACATCTTTGGACACCAAGGCTGCTCTATCACAGGAGCAAGGGATCTTGCTGCTGGCCGCAAATCCTTTCTGTGATGCTCCTTCCTATACCACAGAGGTGTGTTTAGCCAGGGCTGAAAGACACAGCCCCCCCGGCCAGCTGCTGCTCAGGGGAGCGCGCCTTGTGTGTGGCTGTGCTCAGCTCAGACCACAGGGCTGAAATAGTCCCCTTGCAGTCCTGTGACCAGAGAAAGGAAGGGTGGCTTGAGGCTACCCTTTTCTGAGTTATACCACGTCTAGTGCAGCTGAAGATGTTGCCCTGGATTTTGTTTGATGATCCTGTATCTTTGTTTCCAATACCAAATTTTAGCGGTCTCCCAAGGATTTCTATGATCACATAAGTGTTTTTCAAAGATCTTCTGCAGATTATTTTTTTTTTTTAATCTGGTGGTTGATTTGGTTTTGATTTTTTTTCTAGTTATAGTGGCTTTTACAATGTGTCCTCTTCCTTCTTCCTCACTTGCATTATTATGCTTCCAATTTTATTCTGAATCTCTATGGTCACAGTCTGTACAACCCCACATCTGTGCAGTATCATATATTCAGGTATTTTTCTCACATTGACATTGAAACAATAAACCCCTACACTTTTATATATGGTTACTTTGGGGGTAGGGAAATTAGATGTAAATGTTAAAATAACATTTAATTGTATCTTTTTCTAGGGCGGCAAAGTCCCTCACAAGTAGTCCTGTGAGTTCATATTTTGAGCTAGCTTGTTCCAAGCTATTTTTATAAGACCATTGCATCTTAGTAGTTTTAACAAGGTAATTGCCTGTCTTTTTGCACTATTTTTCTGTTTCTTCTTAAAACAGTTGACTGTAAACTCACACCTCATCACTCTTCCTGAACTTTGTCTCTAGTTAGATACTCGAAAACGTTTCTGTGCAAATTAAATACTAATGTGTACTAAAATGAATACATTTAGGCTAATAAAATAAACCATGTAACAAGATGATAGGATATTATGCAGTAACTGTTAATATCATTTAAAAACCATTATAGAGGTCAGCTCTGTACATTTGATAAAAAGAAAGAAAACAATTTGTTGCCATCTATAAGAATAGGATAATATCTTTCTACAGTGAAAGCAAGCAGTGATCTCTGTTTCCGAGATCACAGATTAACTTTTGTGCTGCTGAATTACAAGGGACTTTCTTCTTAGATATCTTTTATTTTTAAAAAAAAAAATTATTCTCTTACATGTAAAGAAGGTGCACATAGAAATGTGGGCAAATTTCTGAGCCTAAAACAAGAGCAATAAAATAGGAAAGTACTAGCTGTGGCTTTGAACATTTTACTATTCTGGTGGTGAAGGGATTAGGCATCCCACAACATCATCAGTCATGTTAATAACACTGAACAAATTAAAAACTTGCAAAGGTTAAAAAAAAAGGGCTGATATGGAAGAGTCAGAAGTGAAGACAGCTCTTAGCTGTCCCAAGAGGTGACACTGTCACGTATGTCAAACAATTCCCCTGTATGGTTTTCACCTTCCCTGATTACTCTTTCCTTTGAGGCCTTGGACACCTCTATCATACCATTCACAGCTCCAAGTGCCTGACAATACAAAAAGTAACCATGTCAAGTAGGAATCCTGCCAGAGGTATTAGACCTCAGTCTTGACTAAACTGAAACTGGACTATCCAGACAACATGCTATGCACCACAGAAAGGCACATGAAATCCATCCAGCACATAGTCTACCAAATGGTATAGGCTATACAGCGAGGAAAAGGTTGTCTATGCATAGTTGTGGGTTATAAAACTGTTATATTAATGAAGGCTTGTTGATGCATCTCACTGGATGGCCAACCTCTTTAACAGTAAGAATCAAGAAGTATTTTTGCCAAATCTTCTAATTCATCCTAGTCTAGATTTCCCAATCTGTCAAAACAGCCAAACAGCCACAGGACAAAGAAAAAAAGAAGAGGGGGGGGGGGGGG